GGTTCACTCTGAGTAACACAATAAATAATTATTAAAGCTAGAAAGCATACTTGTATTTAGTATAAAGCAAAGCTGTAGTTAGCTAGTTAGGGTCTAGGAGACGTCTATTGCGAATGTAGCAGCATCACAGTTTTTAATTCTCTATTTTCCTAAATTCTAAAATAAGTTCAAATTGTTTTGTAATAAGACCTTTGAGATAAGCCTTCTCAAACGACGCCTAAAGCTTTTATACATTGGACTCGTATAGTGGATTTTACCAGTAGCTCACTGGGACATGTCTAGTGAAATGAAAATTTTACTTAAAACAGAAATGATTAATACGCATAATATAATCAAAAACTCATGCAGAAATTTATTTGTATCTTTAGACATGTTGACATTATCATTGCTTTACATTGTTTCAGTTTTACTTTATGTAATGAAATTGTTTAAGCAGTCATACAAGCAACGTTCGATTTATTACCATCTAAGTCCCTGAAACAATTCGAACAAATATATCGAAATTTTGAACGGGTGAGCATCAAAAAGAAAGAAATAAACAGTTACCAGAAAAATCGGAGAAGTTAAAGTCATCATTGTTGTGATGTACAGATAATTTCATAAAAAACTGATCCGGCTTGAAAATTTCACTTTATATTTTGAGTAGTATACACATCATCAGGCTATCATATCACATTTTGACACAACAAAGTTTGTTGTGACGTCCAATATGGGATCTAAAGACAGGTTTATGCAAACATTTTGAGTAATAAAAATTATTGCGCATATTTTTAAGAGTTCAGGGTTTTTTCCTCATAGATACCGAATGATTCACTTTGGGTGTTTCGTCAAATGTTTTAGCCAAGGGCGTAAGAGGGAGTATTTACTTTACATTGTCATTGCGTAAACCACTTCATAACTGCAAGAAAAGTCTATTCTATCTCTTACAATAACATTGCGTTAACAACCTTTACTGGTTGTTTGAACACGAAATTATTGTAGGCGATATGAGATATCCTCTTTGCTAAATTTGTGAGGATATCTTGCAAAAAATAAATATTACGCTTATATTATATAGGTACTAGAGTATTCAGTATTTTGATCAATTTTGTTCTTTATCATTGGTTGTCCTCGTAAGTTTAATCATTCGAAAACGTTTAAACTGAACATACTCGACTTTTATTTATTTTAAAAATAAAAAGATAATTTTCAACTTTTAAATAAACAACTTAGAGATAATTAGGTTTAGGTAGGTAGGTAGATGTTCCACACTGGGCACCATAACATTCTGCAATATTTCGGCATAAGTTTGGCCCGAAATCTTCCCTCAATCCGCTATATCACAGAGTTGAAACTCTGGTTGTCTGGTCTATACACTTTCATTTCATACTTTTTGGAAAACTGAAAGATGTTTTCATTGGGAAATATGACTATCCCAAAACTGATGTTATTGCGCTTGATAGTTAAGAACGAAAATAAGTCGTGCTTGCTTCTGTTTTGGAGTGAGTGAACTGTGAAAAGTGAAACGGTGGTTTTATTGACAAAATACCCGTCCCTTCCATATTTTAGCACTTCCGTTAAGTGTGGCGTCTTATATTGCCAAAACTTACTAACAAACGCTGCAAAAAAAGGAGCTGGTAAATATTTTATCAATGATCAGAGACTATATTTTCTTTAAAAAGCAACCCCAACAAAAATGGACTTGATGTGAATTGATGTCTTTTACGAAAAGCTTTTGCCACAAATGTCTCCGTATTAAATAATTTCAATACTGGAAGTGACCGTCGGTTAGTGAGAACAAATATTCAAAAAAATACTAAATACAAACGGCAAAAACTAATGCAGAAAACACGTTTTCCTACAACAACAAAAACACAGAAACAAATTTAATTCCAACAAAGACAGACGAATGTGGAGAATTAAATCATAGCGTAGAATAATATATATGCTTAGGACATAGCATAAACATTAATAAAGAAAACCAAAACGTTGAAGTGAATAGATTTGGCTACATCTAAGTACCCATACCTCTTAAGAACAGGATATTTGATAGTTACAACTTGCGGATTAGAAACTTAGAAACTATAGCCTTAACAAATAGGAGTTTGGAAAAACTTTAAGTATGCCAAAACGTATAGCCTTGAAGTCGCAGTATTGCCATTGCCATTGCAGAATCCAAATAGATGAAGTAAAAAACAATACAATGAAGAACACGCATAAGTTAAAGAAGCGGCAGCGAAATAGATGGCGAGATGTTATAAAAGAGAACGCAGGAAATCAATAAATGGAAAATCATAAGAGAGGAAAACAGAGAAAAACTTAGAATATGCTTTTATCCAGCAGTTGGTGTCCGACGTCTGAATAAAAAGAAGAGACATATTGAGGATTGTGTTCAGCATAAAATTGATGTAGCTAAAAAAATCAAAATACAGGCAGTTCAAACATAGATATTGTATCCCAAAAATATCACATCAAAAAATAATTTTCAAGTATCTTCCTTACAGATAAGTTATGCTGGGGTTGCGCGTTTAATACTAATATTCAAAAATAATGTTTATATTTTTTATTAAACAACAATTTCAGATTGTTATAAAATCTTAGTAAATGTTAATAAAGATTTTTCATAAAAAATTAATAATTTTTCGATGGTACAACATATTGCACGTAACACTTCCCGAAAGGTGCTTTTAAATTAAATGACACTTTCAGGACTTGTTACGTAAATTACTATTAAATCATTCATTCTCGACAAATAACAATATTAACTCTATTATTGCAATCGTGGCACTGGATACATTGGTCTAGTGCTAATTACATCGAATTAGCTTTAATTAAATGTCCAATTTCGGATTAATCCGATTCCCCATCAAACTTTAGTTTAGCTAAATGCCGCTATTGTTTCCCGTCAAAGATGTTTCTTCGGAAACCTTTTGTTTCTCGTAGGTATTTAAATTTTACAAGCTCTTTCGAAATTGGATCTTTTATAATTCTCAGCCAGTCAAATTTCAATTAACGTAAACACGGAAACAATAGCCCAATGAACGGCGGGAGAAATATAGCGAGGCGGGTCTTAACGAATCCGTCAGCCTGTTTCTAAGACAAACTTTTGATCGGGATTTAAGAAAATCCCATTTACTTCGCCCGAAAAAGTATTTCTTTTTGGCACAGTTTGACAGGGAAACAAACTTAAATTCTACCTTCACGGTTCAAAATAAGTCCCAAAAAAATCTATAAATGCAATAAATAAATAAAAGCAAATTATTATTTATTGCATTTTATTGGGTGTCATACAAATGGGATGGTATTATATTATGAGTGACAGTTTCACCAAAACCTGTATAAATTGACTTTAATAAGTTTCCTCCCTAAATTAAAAGGCTACATCCAAAATTTCCTTGTAAAATCGAAATGATGAATTTCTATAACGGTTTTTGAGAAAATTGAATTAATTTTCCTCCAGTATGTTTGCAGGAACAACAACCACTTTTACCAATTTATTCGAATGAACTGAATTGACAATATGGCAATAATTAACTATGTTGATTTTCACATAACAAAGGATGGTGAGATTAATATTGATACAAGAAAAATAAATAGCTAGTAACAAATAATAATATTTATCAAAATTCATTTTCTCCATTTAAAATTAGAAATTTGCTTTTTATTTTAAATCTTTCCAAATGTCGTTAACGTTTGTATTATGTATACTACTCGGTGCTCTAGAGAACAGCTGGATTTAAGACATATGGTTATATGTTTTGGTGAAGAACTTAATGAGATAATGTGAGAGTACTGATATTATATTGACCTCTCTGTTCTAATTTTGTAAAACCAAAAAAAAAAAACAATTATGCTTGCGTCTGTGTTCTATTTTCAGCCAATTTAACTCCTGAAATGTATACCAAATATGGTCAAGACTTTCTTAACTCGAATATTAAGCATTTTAAATCAGAGCAATACACAACCCTTTTTTATTTTTACTGGATAAATTTGTCTATTGACATGGAGTAATTGAAATTTTAGCGAAATATATGCCGAGAATTTTAAATTGCGGTCCATGAGCAAGCTAAGATCTCTTGTTCACACAACCTAATAGTGCTTTATAGAGTTCTCCGACAAGTTTGAAATAAGATCTAGTTCAAGATTAAGATGGTTATTCGCTCACTGATGATAATCGAACCATGGAAATGCCAAGGGGGTATGAGTCAAAATTACATTTTTGAGATAATCAAAGAAAACTGTTTAAAGTTACAATAATGGTTATAATTGCCGGTGTTCGTTAAAACAAGACAAATACAGGTTACAGGGCAAGATATATGTTTAAAAGTAAAGACCCAAACATTGATTGGTTATCAAATTTTACCTGTTGCAGCCTTCCAAATCAGTGCTCAGGAAAAAATGAGCAAGTTAGAAGTTTAAAGCCAAAATACTGAATTTTTCTTATCATAAGATAAGAGCAAACGTTTCCAAGGCTTTCGAAAAGTTCAAAATACCATCGCACAACCGTTTAATTGCATAAACCATTAAAAATATTGAAAACAACTCTGGCTAAAAATATTGCTAAATGTGGCTTATGAATGTTGGTAAACTAACTTTCCAGAATTTTGGATGGACTTGACAGCCATTTTGTTTCTTAGGAAGACAAATTTTATGTTGGTTTCTTTAGAAGTAAACTGAAACTGGTTCAATGTTAGATGTTTTCCAAGATGTCGGGAAATAGCCTGTACCAAAACAACTATTAAAAATGTTAACACTGTTAAATATAATTTAAATTATTATTCTAGATTAATATATAATAATATATTAAAAGGAATCTTCCACCAAGAGAAAAGTGATCTATGAAATAAGTTTTTTATGAAATATCTAATAGTACACGATAGAATGGTTAATATTTAATACAGGATAATTTCTAAATAACGTGGCGGTTAGACAATTTTATTCGAGTATTTGTCACGTGATCTGTATTATATTTAAAATATTCTACATACCAACGGGCTCTAATGGATTTTTCTCTGTTCTAGTGACTGGATGACGGCCATCAGCAACACGGTAAGTCTATTGTGCCGAACCCATTTCCCTGTGATGTATGTGATGTTTCCTAAGAAATATGCATTCCCAAGTCTCTAATGAATAACCCGCTTACGGATATGTATAAAATTTAATCTTTTGTCACGCTCACTCCGCAGGCATTCACGCAGCTTGATAGAATTACATTTGCCTTACTTTATATTTCCTCTGCCGTTGGATACTCGTGCAGCCTCGAAAGCTTTCAACAGCGCGATCTCGAATAATATGCGTGCAAATTGGAAAAATATATCTATCTCTAATGTATTTATGTTCTTGCTCTCTGGGTGTCGTTATTATGCGATGTGAACACAAATGTGTTCACACATTTCGCAAATTTGTGTTCACACAAAAAATTTGTGTGTGTAGGGTGCAATATAAATATATTGCACACTATATTATTAATCAACCAATTAATCAATCAACATAGGACGCATATCACTGTTAGATAATATAACAATTTGAGACTGATTTTCAACAGATAAATTCAGTAAAATACTGACACCGAATCCTGACAAAGTTATATCATAAATTTTTAAGACTACAGTTCGTATATTCATTTGATCTACCAAATTTATATGGGGGTTCATCAAAATCGTGGTTTTTCGTCAAATTGAAAGTTTTAATGTCAGTTTTAGTATGTCTAATGAATGTTTCGTGTATGCGATATAAGGAAAAGACCTACATGACTGCAATTTATGTTAACAATTGTTATAATTCGTAGCGTGTTGCCACTGTGTGATTTATTCTTGACCATATATGGGCATGAACACCAATGAACGTAGACTGTAAAAATTAGACAGTTCATTCTCAGCTGTGATGATGCGGTGTAGGTTGTATGCGATGTTACCGGAATGTGCGATTTCCGTAACAATTCAGTTGGATGGCAAATGAAGATCAAACTCGGTTAAAATTGGTTATCTGAAAAAGAAAGGTTAAAATTAAATCATATACCTCTTGAGAATTGTCAGAAAATGATACCGATGATTTATAAATTTATCTGAGAATAATATAATACAATATAATAAATATTATAATAATATGGCAATAATATAATAATAGATTGAGGTACCATTCGTGGTTCGCAAATATCACCACTACCGGATACTGCTTTCGATCTTTCTTTATCACAAAGTTCTTATTTGCATTCGGATATACATCTTATTTACTATTGTTGCAAGCCACATCGAACATTTCCGGACTATTACCACGGGTTTGGGAGCAGTCGGATGTTTTCGGAGATATTTCCCACAGCTTGAATTTTTCCGTTGGTCAATTTTGATGGCCATGTACTCAAAAACTTATGGTCGTAGAAAAAGTATAGCATACCACATATTTGGTAAATTTTTAAGTCACTCGTTTATTAAGCACTCGGTCTGCTGCGCCCCGCTGGTGCCAAATAATCTCATGACTCAAATGCCGGTCTTCTACTCTCTTCTGTAAAATACCTAATTATAAACTATCTAGCGTGCGGGAAGCGTCACTTTACCCCGGGAGTTTCTTGTTCCACGGATCCAAGCCACTTCGGACATTTTCAGGATATTACCGCACGGGTTTGGGAGCTATCGGATATTTTCGGAGATTTTACTGCACGGCTTCAATTTTGACATTTGTGAATTCTGACAGTCATGCTAGTCAACGTATTCGTGTTGTTCTGCAAAAATATGCCCAAAAACAAACGGTCGTACAAAAAGTATTGTGTGCAACATGTTTGGCAAACTTTTTAAGTCATTATTAAACACTCGCTCCGCTCGTGTCAAATAAACTCGTGACTCTAATGCCATTGTTGCATAATATACTATAAACATTAAATCTCTAAATATAATGGAGTATAGCAAGAATCGGTGTCATTTCAAAGTTTTTCACATAACCGCAGAATTTGTGGGGATGAAAATTTACAAATTCGAGGTACATATTTCAGAGGCTGATGGTACATATTGTAGACATCATGTGCCATCAGCGGCTAAAATTGACCAAAAACATGCTATAGCGCTCAAACTAAACTACCGGAAATATACGAAGTGAGTCGCGATCCTGGATAACGAAGCTGACGTCTTAAAGCGACAATTTACATACTCCTGATCGGTGTAGTATAATTTGATATTTTAAGTCAGGGAGTTGAAAAAATATATTTCCTGCATGTTTTTTTAATATTAAAAAATACAAATCGTTTTTTTTATGATGGAAACGAATTTGTATATTTTACAATTTTTCTCTTATTCATTATTCTTATTATTTCTGTTCCACTTTTCCCGTCTTTAACTGTTGATTTAATGGTGAAAGATATAAATATGTGCTACTTGTTTTAATTTATATAATAATCATATGAGGCAATAAGTGGGACATATTATAAGTTAAATCAAATAAAATTGTTAAACAATAGTAGCACGCAAAGAGAGTACACACGAAATAAAAAGTATTTAGCAAAAAATAAAAGAACACACTGCACTTCCTCAACTCCGTCCTCCGTCTTTTCGTTAAACTAATATATAACAGAGAATTTTATTTATCAGTTTTGATGAATTAACTTTGAAATTACTTTGGGCTTCAAGTAATTATATACTCGGAAAGGCAAGAAAAAGTTTAACGCGCTTCAGCTTTCATCGTAATTAACTACGTGTTTGTTTTTCCCCTTGTAACAACTTCGAGGTACATTGATTAATGTACCTTTCAGGCTACCGTATAAAATATTTTTGAAAAGCTCTGGCCGTGGATTTACACCATATTTTTTTTGTGTTAGTTTGTTGCATATAACAGAAAATGTATGCAATCATTCATCAGGACAATATAAGATAAAATAAAATACAGTTGCATTACACGTAATATAAAGAACACGTACATTTTGTCAGTTAAAAGAGTATGAAATACTCGGCAGCCATTTCACCTTACAGCAAGCATAGTTAATTGTGACTTGCAAAAGAATAAACCCCTAGAAGCTGTAGAATGCTCGCTTTGTTAAAACTTTCTTGGCTACGTGTTTGAACCTAAACAGGAGGGTTTTTGTCGCAGGCTTTAGTGGTATTTTAATGGATACAGTAGTAAATTGAACCTCGCATAATCGCATAAAGATGAAAGAAATCAGGCTTAAGATTATCCTTATTCTATATTTTAGCTCACTGACATGTAAGAAATGTGTTCCGTAAACTGGCAAGAGAATACAGGCACTAGAAAAGGATGGAGAAACGTCAGCAGAAAAATATAAAACAGAAGCAATGGTGTCTGATCCACCTCGTCAAGTGGATCTAGAAAGCTTCCTACAGGCGGCGCAACTCCCTTTGGGATTGTGAAGCCACTATATACCTATGTACCTTATTTTGCAGACCAAAGATTCTCGTTACGTCAGAAGTTTAGCCCCAGTTTAACAGACAATAAAACAAGTGAGAGCCAAAAATCATTAATAGATTGTGCCTTTAACGATTACGTATAAAAAAAAATTGATTTTTTTTGCCACTTGGTTTGTATCGGCATTCCTATTTAATTTGCAGTCTTTGACACTCCCGTTATTTACTTCGTTCATGTTCCGTTTCGAGAATATTAAGTAAACTGTTCTTTCCTCATCAACAGTTCGTTATTACTTCTGTAAACATATTCTTTCGATAATTTTTAAATTTTTCTTTCCAAATACAAATTAAACAATAATGTTTTAGCCTAAACCATTTAGCTATTAGATGATATATATTTTCAAAAGCTAAACTGCACTTTGTCCATTTTCTTTTCAAACAGCATCTCGACACAATTAACTCGTTGTTTACCTGACAATTTAACTGAGAACTGTCGAATCGTCGAACTCTCAGCGGGCATATCCGTTCATGGTTGTCCCTGATAAAATCCGAATGGTCAAAAAGATGTCTTACAGCTGGGATAATATAGTGTGTCAAAATGTTGCGACGTGACAGGAACAACATCGCAGATTTAAAATATATTGACACGAAAATTGAAGGCAGATATGCCCCGTCGATTTATGTATTAAATTGTGGGTAGGCCCTAACAGTGGATTTGACGAATGGGAAATTTTTTCCATTTTTATCGGGTTTCTGGTTCATCGACCATTCCTGACATTTTATTAAGTGGAATATTCCAGAATGGAACAGTGGGTTAAATGCGTTTCAGAACGTGGAGATTAACTCGGAAATGGAAATGGGTGGTTATCAACTGGGTGAAATTCGATTGCATGTAAATAAAAAATGCGACTCGGCACTAATCAATGATTAAAAATAAATGAAAACAGCTGAAAAATTATCTTAATTATTATTAGCTGAGAGAAAAAGTTATCCATCAACTATCTATAATCATAACCATAATTTATATCTGAACCTCAATTATCCGCAAGGGAAATTTTCTTCTTCGAAATTTTATGTGGGATAGTGAACTATCTAACTGGCATAGCAATCATGGAACAATGAGGCGAATTGATGTCTTTCTCTCGCTCATTTATATAGGAGAAAGTAAAACATCTGAAAAACAAAAATCAAAACATCGCTTGCGATACCTACACCCTTTTAAATCAAATTTTGTAATATAAAACAAAATAGCATACTTCATAAGAACAATAACAAGTTTGTGACTAAATGCAATTTGACATTTTAATTTTAACTGTAGGATTCATTGAAAAAATTACCTAAAATATACAGAATTTTCAGAAATCAAAAAGTTATGAGGACCTGTCCAAAATGCATGCTTTTGAGAATCTTCCTGTAGCTCGGATACAAGTCGACGTATCATGATATAATTTTTATATTTATACTTTTCTCCAAAAACGAGCCCGAAACATCTGAACTGAGTTGCCACATTGCCGTAATTTTTCTGACTAATTTCTATAAGAACGCAAAATCAGTCTCTGAAATCTGAACATAATTGGACACGCCGAGCTAGAAATTGCTATATCCAGACTGTTGCCATTGTTGTTTACATTTTTGGTGGTTATGATTCTCTCCGTACCTTTTTCGTGTTGTGTTTGTGGTCAAACGTGTAAGGAAAACAATGTG